AGTTTTTAGGTCTAGAAAATTTCTTTTAAACGAAAAATTTACAAAAAATCTCAATTTTTTATTTGAACCAAAACCAGTTTTTTAAATTGTTCGTCTTTTTCCGCATCCAACGAGTGGTCCACTAAGCTGGGGAACCAAACGGTTCCGGAGTTATGATCGATTGAAGTTTCCGCTCAACGCGCGCCGACCGATTTTCGCGCGCAAAAAAGTCGGATTTGACTGTTATTAGATCAGATTGAATGTTCAAACTGAGCAAAATGCTTTATTAGGGACTCTTGAGGGTCGCTGAGTTCAGAAATTACAGATACTTCCAAATAATTTACGTTTTTAAAAGTACAGCTCCGCAGCGCTATTTTAGAGGCCCACTGAGCGCCGACCGGCCGCTCAGTGGTCCTGTCCGAAGCTGCAATTTTAAAATCGTGAATTTTTTGGAAGTATCTGTAATTTCTGAACTCAGCGACCCTCAAGAGTCCCTAATAAAGCATTTTGCTCAGTTTGAACATTCAATCTGATCTAATAACAGTCAAATCCGACTTTTTTGCGCGCGAAAATCGGTCGGCGCGCGTTGAGCGGAAACTTCAATCGATCATAACTCCGGAACCGTTTGGTTCCCCAGCTTAGTGGACCACTCGTTGGATGCGGAAAAAGACGAACAATTTAAAAAACTGGTTTTGGTTCAAATAAAAAATTGAGATCTTTGTAAATTTTTCGTTTAAAAGAAATTTTCTAGACCTAAAAACTAGAAAAAAGCACATATGTTGACTTAAAAATGTGATATCGGGATTTCGACATTTTGAATCTTAAAGTATGCAATTTTAGACGATTTTTCGTCCAAACCGAACCTCGATATCTTTCTTTGTTCAAGAGATATCGAGGTTCACAGGTTTTGACTTCCACCCCTCCCTAGCTCCCCCCCCAAAATTTTTTGGGGGTCTGAAAATTTGGGAAAAGAAGCGCTCAAGTATGAGTAATCAATAGACAAAGTCTGAAGAACTTCCACAGGGGGGCGAAAAAAGCCGTTTTTGCATCAAGCTCTTTGCTCACTTTTGTAACTTGATTGTAAAAAAATACTGGGTCCTATTTCCAAAATCTGATTAAAGCGGGCTCATCTAGGGTCAATCACCTGTCGATTTACGCAAAAATAATGGAAATCGGCCAAACGCTCAAACGAACTATGACAAAGAACATTGTTTAAATGGGAAAATTCGCAACTTTACCACGTACCTAATATAAAAAAAGTTGGATCATATTTTGAAAGTCTGAATAAAGCGGGCTCATCTAGAGACAATTGCCCGCCGATAGCCGCAAAAATCATGAAAATCGGCCCGGTGGAATGCTGGCCAAACTAAGCGTTACCATTACCAGTTACGCAAAATTAGGAGGCCTCGGAGCTTGTAGTATATAAAAAAAAAAGAAAAAGAAAAGAGGAAGAAGGAGAAGATGAAGATATGCGTCCTACCTTCCTCATTCCTCCGTCCCTCCCTCCTCTCTCTCTTCCCTTTTCCTTCCTCCTTCTTTTCGGTGAATTCGCCTGACGACAGCAGTTGCTGGTGGAAAAGAGGGGCGTCAATGAATTAGTGAGCAATGTTTAGGGGAGACCGGGGTTATGTTGGCCACGGGGGCTATGATAACCATCGTGAGAATTTTGTAGAGGAAAATGTAAATTTGATGTTTTGATGAGCAAAAAGGTTGGCAGCGATGTAGACTAACAATTTAAAATATCAACATCGATGGTGTCCCCCTCTGTTATGCTCTGTGCTGTAACATTCTTGTTTACCTTCGAAAATAGCCCGAAAACGCGATTTTTTTAATTTTGAATTTTGTTTGCTGTGGCGAGTATTTATTTTGTATCTTATTAATCTTTGTTTCTATTTGAAGTAGACCCCTTTCCTTTGATTTTAGTGTATGGATTTATGGCTTTTGACTCCTTGTTTCTTAGTTGGATGACTTTGATTTGAGGTAACCTCGATCGGGGCTATGTGGACCATTTTTCTGGGGCTATGTTGACCTACTAAGAAGACATACATTTTATACTTTTTTTTGCGTAAGGTTTCAAATCCATTTTCTTTGAGTTTAAAACGGTCCTATTTAGTGGAGAAGTAGATCTTCTTATTATTTGTTAAGTTGCTTTTCACACCAACTCACTTATTAAATTTGATACTGTTCTTTAAATTTTTTTTTTTTATTTTTAAATTTTCAGCTCCAAAGGTATTGAGTTTTACAAACATTACGAAAGATAAGTGTAAGGGCATAATACTAAGCTTTTTAAGTGCAATTACAATCAACTGAACAAGGTTAACATAGCTTCCTTACAGGTGGCTCACTTAGCCCCGGGGGTGGCCAATATAGCCCCAAGCAGGGGCTATGTTGACCAAAATGGATTTTCTTATAAAAACGCATGAAACTCACAAAATTAAAGTATTTTGTACAATGTTTTCAGTTGATTTTAATTTTACACTGTATGCTCAAGGATTAGAGCATTAAAGAAATGGCATTCTATTCTTCTGTTTCTTCAGACACAAGTTTTCAAAAAATCTGGTCAACATAGCCCCGGTCTCCCCTAAGACTCTTTTTCGAATGAAGTACAAACGCGTATTTAATCGGGAAAGTTACCACTAAAAATGCTCGTAATTTCAATTACTTAGGAGAAAAACTGTATTTATGAGACGGAAATAATCTGCTCGCGGCGTAATCCTTTTGTTTTTGAGGCAAAAGTAGTTAAGTGAATAATCGCACGTTATACAAATTGGCTTTCCGAATGGAACGAAGAATGATGCGAAGTAAGAGATGAATTGGCCATTCATTCATATTCCGCAGACAAGTTGTTGACTATGTTTACCTTTCTCATTCATAATACCACAACCTAGGTATCTCTATTTGCAACGGTATGTTAAATGGTTCTCCCTTTGACGAGCTTGTTTCCCCTCATCAATTTTGCATATTTTTCATCGAAATGCGCTTTTCTGCGAGGAAAAAATAATCTATCGCCTCTATATATGTATATTCATTTATGACTTGCATAGATCGGACGGGTAATAATTGTAAACAACGTTGGGAATTTACATTCTATGCGTGATAATCAAAATTGTAAACACATTTGCTCAGGGAACCGGCTGGCCTGATTATAATGTATAAATAAAAGTACGTAGTAAATACTTACCCGCCCTCTTCTTTTGCATTTCATCGTATCATAATGATATGCCCCAAAATAAACCGTCGAATTTTGAAGAGGAAAACATCGTAGGAAGGGTCCTATTTGAGATGGTACCTACCTATAATTCTTCAGAATCGGGCTGTCCACAAATTACTTCATGTTCTAGGGGATTGAGTCTTTATAATTTAGTGACAGAGAATTACAAAGGGTCAGGGACCGGGGGGGGGGGGGGGAGGTCGCAAAGCTCAGTGTTACGTAACAGTATTTAAACCTAATTTCAAAATTTCTTTTTATAAAGTTTTCCATGCTAGTTTTTGCGTATTATTGTTCTTCCTTGTTGAAACGTAGAACCTTCTATTTAACAGAATCATGTGTCCTTCCCTTTTTGATGAGAATATTAATTTCAAGGGGTTTTTTGGTACAAAAGAGCGAGAGGGTGGCGCGGAAAATGGTGTCGGAACCAGCGTTACAATTACGTTACGTCAGGTGGATGGGGATAAAAAATTGGAAAAATGTCGTTACGTAATTTTTGGACAGCCACATGGTCAAAAAACTAGTTCACGTGAAAATGACTGTCCTTAGTTAGGTGTGTGATCATCTTGAACTCGTGTGATAGTAAAAAAAAGTACACAAGGAGAAAAAATTGACGCTGTGCCGGCCGCTGTTTAAAATAATTACTTATTGTTTAAATCAGGAGACGTCACACATACAATAAAATCCTTTCATTCTATAAAGCATCTGGAAAACTTCCCCCTCGACCGAAAAAAACCCATAACTTAACCAACCCTGAGATCAATTGTTGGAGATCATCCATATAGGCTCCTTTCACTCTAAACTGCTGCACCTCTCTAAGCTGGATATACGATATTTTTATTTTATTTTAATTTATTTACCTTTTTATTTATTTATTTTTTTTTTTGAAAAATGTCTCATTATGGAGGGAGCTTTTTCCGTAAAGTAAAAACATTTTCTCTTCCAGATCGAAGATAAAAATTGAAAGTTAACGCGGTGAAAAATTAATAGGTAGCTTTGCCGCTGTGATAGGACGGCCGAATTTGCCACGAGTGGAAAGCGTAGGTAGTGCTTCAGCAACGTTGAAAGTGGTCGAATCGTGCGAAGGTATACCTATAATCTAAATGATTTTTACGTAACCATATCAAAACTCTTAGACATTTACTGAAGAATCAGTCGCCGATAAAAACATACTCATCCAAAAATACGCAACTAATTATTGTAAGTGCCTTTCTGTTAAACTCGGTCTATTCATGTCCATAAAAGTGTGTGGAGTAAGTTCTGCTTAGTTTGTATTACATTGCATTTATTAGTTTAATTTCGGTAACGGTTAAGTTATTCTCATGGAATTACCTAAAAAGGTAATTTTTGTATTGAAAAACACATTAAATTTTTGGTCATTTTCTGTAAACTTCATGCCAACGTTGTACTTCGATCATGTCATCAAACAGGAGTTTTCTGCAAAAATTAATTTTTATGATCTTTCAGAATTCAATAGGTATCGATTGATTTAATTTGCTCCTTTAGGGTACCTAGTGACTTTATTTATTCGTTTCTCCCCCTTCTATCCATGCATCTTCAAATCTGCGATCGATTGGAATTTTTACCGGTCGGGATAGCAAATATTTGGATTTGAGCTTTCCTCTTCAGTGATTCTCCAGAATTTTCACTTTTAAGCAAGATTCCTCCCTAAAACCTAAAAACAACATAAATTAGGTAACAGGAGATTCTGTTTTTGTGGTAGGTATTCCAAACGGATAGGTAAACATAAGGAAATCAATATGCAAATAGACAGTGATAAAGGAGGTATTGAGCAATTATGTAGCGCACTCACATGTTTAAAGGAAGAGATAGAATGAAAGCGTCAGCGCAGGTAAATTAATCCAAAAGAACTTAGCAGCAGCATAAACTTAACGGTGGACACAATTGTAAAATATGGTCAACGGCACTGAGGAAATATAAAATCACTTTCTGTAAGACTTTGTGAGTAAAACAAAAGGGATTATTTTTCACTGAAGCCGAAAGATACGAGCAGCACGGATTACACTGGACTGTTAAAGTTAACGTATCTGGAGGTTTTATCGGCGCGTCTTGAGCAGAGTTACCTGAAATACGCTCCGGCCTACGAGAGGGAACTGAGGTTGCAGCGAACTGTAACTTGGCATGGCTCGGTGGTCCATGCGCTTGCAGAAGCTGCTGCCATGCCATGCCGCGGCCGCACGGTGGGTCGAGTCAATAGGAGAGGTCGGACAAATTTTAGAAACTTTAAACGCTTATAACTGCGTTTATACCAAATTTTGAAATTCTAAATGTGGCTCCATTGGTTTCCTCGTAAATTTTTCTTCTAGCGGCATCTAATAAAGTTTCAAATGTGGCAAATTAAACATCAAAATTTGCGGTTCAGGTCAAAAATTTGATGTCCGACTTTTCTGATCGACTCGATCCACTGTGGGCCGGTGCGCGGCGCAAGCTGCGGGCAAGACCTTCATTCGAACGGGTACACAGGTGATATATTTATCACAACCGCTGCCGCACGTTGATCCCTCTTCAGCGTACGCCTCTGTCGCCTCATCACTTCTTTTTTGAAACTCATTTGCGACCGTCCACAGGAAAAAGGGATACCCGATTGTGAGTAAGGGATTCGGGTGGGGGAGGGCCGAGGGGGTTTCAGGCCCTTTAGAAAAGTTGTGATCTTAATTATGAAGCTGTTCAATACGATTAGACCCTTGAGAAGCGTAAGTCGGCCTCGGCCTCCTCCCCCACCCCTCATTTTTTTCTAATGGAGAATTTGCACAAAACATGTTATTGCTTTATCTGAATAAAATGCTTGATGAGCTGCGTTCGCAGTCTTTTCCATTATTCTCGTTCGAAATGGGAGATAGTCGAGAAATAGATTCATAAAAGTGAGAAAACTGTCGCCTTGTGACGTCATCGGGCGGCATTTCCCGTTTGAACACACGTATTTAAGCAGATTAGATAATTTTAGTCATAACTTCTCTAATAATCGTTAGTTATAGAAACCAAGAATAATCTCATATGCTCAGTTTAGGTACTTACTTTCCTCCAGGGCCAGATTTAGGAGGTGGCCACATGGACCGCGGCCCATGGCGGTATAAATGCACTTGTTTTAAATGTAGGTACAAAGAAAAATCGGATTCAGAAAAAAACTACAAATGAGAAAAGGTGGCAAAATCTCTCATTTCCCGAGAGTATATCTCTTCTTTTGTCGTCTTTCTGTGATATAATAGACAGCACCTTTAATTAGTCGAGTTCAGACTAAGAGAGAAACCGAACACGGAATTAATTGGCCTGGAACGGCGCGGTGCAGGCAGAAAGCAATGATGACGAGAATTTGATATGAATAGGAGAAGTCCTCGGCGCGGCGCGGCGGTCGGCATGTAACATAGGTATATTAGCGCCTACAAGACTGCATGAATACTTCACACATTGCGTCAAAGACAGTGCGCTCGCTGCAGTCAGCAGCGGGCGGCATGAAACGCATAGCGCATAGAAATAAAAAGGAGGTGTTTGCATTTCGGGCATCTTGGAATTTTTTGATGACTTGATGACGTAGGTGGGTACAGCGACGTTTTTATCCTTGTCGATTTTCTTGGAAATGGTGTAATTTAAGGAAAAAAGTCATTCAATAAAAAGTGCTTGAAATTATATAATGAGTTGATTTAAGTAAAAAATCGGACATTTTAGTCCGTTTTTCATATTTAGCTAAACGTCGCTGTACCCACCTACGTCATCAAGTCATCAAAAAATTCCAAGATGCCCGAATGCGCATAGCGCCTACAAGACACTGCATGAATACTTCACGTAGTGCGTCCAACACAGTGCGTGCACAGAGAAAAGAGACTCTCCACTAGTATCTTGGCCAATGTCGAAGCTTTTACTTTCGAGACTTCAACATTCTGCTGTTGACTTACCTACATGGTTGATGTTTAACAACGCGTTGGCAGTTTCGTTTTACAAACAAGCCGAAAATGGCCGACGTTTTGGAACCTTGTTTGGCCCATACGCAGACGTCACCCGAAGCTCATCATGGACCATGTAAGAAGGAAGTAGGTCAACAGCCGAAATTAGGGTGATTACTGTTACTCCCTAATAACTGTCCATAAGGAATTGTTGAAACCCCGTAAGTAAAAGGTTCCACCTGTCGCTAGGAGGCCAGTGGAGGGTCTCTTGTCTCTGTGCGTGCAGTAGCGGTCGGTGTGAAACACAGAGCGCATAAAAGACTGTAGGAATACTTCACACATTGCGCCAAACACAGTGCGCGCGGCGGTGGAAGGAAAATTATCAAACCATTATGTTTGTTCTTTCATAATTTTTTCGTTCATTTCATATAAATGGAAGGCCTTATCCACACAGAGATATGTTTACGGAACTTAACTTTCGCGCCAAGTTCCGTGAACTTTTGCTAGTAGTGTTGACAGGGCTTTCCCAAAAAATGTGTCCAACACGGGTAAACGCATTTTATGCACCCCTCCCTCTCCGGCACGTTCACTTGATGGTTTTTATTGATGTTTCAAAACGAATGAGAAGGGGGCGGCAAGTAAGTAAATCCGGCCCTGGTTTCTTCTTAAACATGAAATTCAAACAGCTTTAGATGCATGCAAGTTCTTTATACGCTAGTATTGGAAAAGAGACAGTTCTAAGAGGAGAATTCTTCTAAGAGATAGGTTTATGTTCGAGTTAAATTTACAAATCGGCAGTTGCTACCGTCTAGGAAGAGAGGGACCTCAAGGACTAGGAAGTCCAAGTTTTGGCACATAGATTTCTGTCGTGTCAGGTGGGAAAACACTTTAATATCCTGGTATCTTCCTTGCTTCAGTTTTGATATAGGTAGCGATGTGCTAAACGTGATTTTTGTAGAGCAACTTTTCGTGTTTAAGACGGTATCTTCGTAGTATAAACTAAGAATAGAAGGCGTTTTATCATTTTGGATCCTCGCATTATAGATCGCCGCGCTGCGAGTGAAGCGGTGCGTGCTGGAGATACACCAAACGCCTTCATCAACTTCGTACTTATGCAACCCGGACATCCGTGGAGTCCGAATAGTTGTATCCAGGCGTTATAAATTCATATGAAGTTCGTCACATTTAATACTGACTGAGGACGGTTTGCTTCAGTGGCGTGATGTCCATGCAAGCAAGAAAGCACTGCCTTCCCTATCTTCTCTCAGTACTTCGCGTAAATGTAATTGTTTGCCGACTTCTAATATTTAAAAATAGCATGAAAGAGAGAGAGTTGAGTGAATTTTTTTTTAAAAAATCAAAATTTTAGGCATTTATTTTGCCTAAACTAGTCTTTGAGAACACCATTCGAAAAAATGAGCTCTATAGAGCTCACTTTTATATCACTTTAAAGTGAAAAAATGAGCTCTATAGAGTTCACTTTTTCCTCTCGATGTGAACTTAAAGTTTACTGGTGGTGTCATAAGGTAGGCACTACCCAAAAGCGCAAACTCTAAAAGTGAGAGATGCATAACCCAATAGCGCTAAGAAGAGTCGAGACTCATCCAAAAAGCGCAAAATCCTTAAATAAAGGATTAAATATAGAATCATAGGTACTCATGATTTTTTGTTAACGCCTTCACTAGCTAGGATTTAATGCGAGGAACTACATCTGTGGGCCAGTCTCGAGAAATGTTCGTTGAAAATTTCGCACTTGAACATCAAAATTATTTGTCTAAAGGGGGGGGGGTTGATCGAAATAAAGGAGGACTCGTTCATGCACTTACGTTAAACGAAACTACCGATCTTGCTCAGATACCTACATTTTTGGCGATTCCAAGGACCGGCATCGTCGTAATACATAAAAACAATTAATGCATTTTTGGAGATTTGACGATTCCGCGATGAGAATGAATGGTAGTATAGGTAGGTACCTCATCGGCACGATAGGGAACGCTAAAATCAAGTTGATACCTAAGTAAAAAAAAAAAAAAAAAAAAAAAATTGCAAACACCTGGATGCAACTATTCTAATTTCTAACTCTATGGATGTCCGTGTTGCATTAGGGTGGCCCTTATTTTGGACTTTTTGGAATTTAATGAGCAGCACCCCCTAGATTGGTTCTATTTGATGTAAAAACACTGTAAAAAAAATTTGAGACCTTTAGGTCAAGGGTAAATGGTGCCGAAAACAGGGGAAAGATGCAGCGCGTAAAACTGAAGAAGCGCATTTTTACGCTTTTCGCCGATTTGACTGCCGTTTTTAAGGGAGTTGTAGATGCTCAACACCCATTATTGATGGTGTTTCTAACACAACTTTTTACGTAGATTTAGGATATTTTAACAGAATTGGCCTCAGGTAATTACCTACCCCCCTTACGGTAGGCTAAAGTGGCCCCAAAACGTCATCTAAGCTCCCGAAATAGCTTTTTTCCGAAGTTTGGCGCTTGTTACAGGCAAATGCAAAGGCCTCAAGAACTATAATTTTCTTGTATGTGGTACAACTTATTCCGTAGATTAAGTATATTTTAACAGAATTGGCCTCAGGTAATTACCTACCCCCCTTACGGTAGGCTAAAGTGGCCCCAAAACGTCATTTAAGCTCCCGAAATCGCTTTTTTCCGAAGTTCGGCGCTTGTTACGGGCAAATTCAAGAACTATAATTTTCTCGTATGTGGTACAACTTATTCCGTACATTAAGTATATTTTAACATGTTTGACCTCAGGCAATTACCCCTCCCCCCTCCCCCGCCCTGCGCACAGTAGGTTGAGGGGGCACTGAAACGCGATTCAAGCTCTTGGAATCAGATTATTTCAAAGTTAGGCGCTCGTTACTTGCAATTTAAAAGACTGGAAGAAGCATAATGTTCCTCCACGTATAAAATAACTTTCAAATGCACAAATTTTAAGAAAAATACTGAGGAAGGGTGTAAAAGAAACTTACAATGACTTTGGTTAGTCCGCTCTACAGTTTCTTCCGTAATGTTGATGTTTTAACATTGGGAAAAGCTTTCCGATAATCGCTAACAACCTGAAGAATCCGTTGCCGCTCTTCGTCCGATTTCGTGAGTTTCTGGCTGTACTCTTCAAACAATTTAACGCCGCGTTCGGCTGTGTCGTTGACAACCTTGATTTTTTTC